TTAATAACTGAAATAGGCTCACAAGTGATTAAATGTAACAAGATAAGTAATGCCGATATGAGCCAACACAGGATGTTCAAATGTAAATTACAAATAATTTATTAAGCAAGTAAGTACGTATACGTTTCTTTAATGCGAATTTCTCCGAATGATTAAAAACCCTCGGCCCTCATCAGTATAATTAATAACGCAAAACAAAATTATTTGGAGGATATCGCATTAAAGAGAGAATGCACTGATACATGAGTTAATGAATGAAAACTATTAGATGTCCAATACTTGACGAAACTTGTCATCAATTTGTCCGATTTGATAAAGTTGTGCGAACCATGTGTGTAACCATATTATTATTAATTGGTCCGATTTAATAACAAAAGGAACGAGACTTCTACGGAGATGCTGATGGTTTGAACAAAAGCACACAAAAATATATATATATATATATATTATGTGTGTGTGTGTGTATATGTAAATACATATAGGCATTGATGATTTTTTAAAATTATATCGTCATATATATATCCGAGAAAAATATAATATTTTCATATGAACGTATCACATATTGAAATGAATATACAATTAAATCAACTTGTGTTTTATGAGTATATTTACAATTGTAACATGGAAAAAAACTCATTTATTTTTATATTAACACATGGCACAGATTGCGAAATATTCGATTCAATATCATGTCCGCAGACATTATAAATGAGATAAAAGAATTTAATATAGATATGTTACAATACACAAAAAATAAAAAATGATATACAAATTCAAACATGTGTTTTAATCATAAATGCATTTTGATACACTCAATATATCCATGTTAAAATAAATTAACAAAGTTAAAAAAATAATAAAAAGATATAAACGCTATGGTCTGTTTAATGTAGAATTTATTATAAAAATTACGTTTAAATTGCAAAGTTAGAATAGATTAATTCATATATAGATAATCGATAGAATAAAGAAAATTATTAAAAGATAAGATATATAAATCACTCTTTGAAGTTTAGCAAATGATAATTAGATACTTTGGTATCTGCGTGTGTGTGTGTGCGTGTGTGTGCGCGCGCGCACGCGCGTGTGTGTATATATAGAAAAAAAACGAGACCTGTTTCACATTAGACACAATTAGAACCTCATCAATGTACATTTAAAACTACACGCACCTAGTAAGTTTGAAAAAACTGGAATACTTTTTTCTACTTGATCACTATCTTTTTCTTACATACATTACGAATATCCTACGTATCTATTAATTCAATGAATTCAACGTCTAAAGGGAAGTAAATGGAAAAAATGAGAAATGTTATGATGTACTAAGGTCGTGCAGCTAAATACACATTGTCTTTTTTTTACATCTATACAATTATGTACATGCACACAAGTTTCTTCTGTTGTATTATAGGTTTATACAAATCTAGTATTTCCTCTATTCGCTCAATGCATGCACATCTATCTATTATGAACCAGGTCTCAACAATATCAGCTATCTTTCTTACAGGAATTGCTATCTCTACGTTAAAATATCTGATGTAAAATTGTATGTATATCGAGCAGTCAGAGAATGTGGTTACGTAAATAAAAAGTCTAGTCCTAAGCCACGTCATTCTTGGTTGCCGTCCTCGACAAGTTCTAATTACTTAAAATTATCCAACGCATTTTTAAAAAAGCATTATATAGATGTATCACAGGTACTGTTACCAGATAGGGCCATTTTTGAAAGACTAGAAAGACTTCGTCTGGGACTACTACCTCCGAGAAAGCTGCTACTAGACTCAGAGAATATTTTTCGGAAGCTAAAATAAAATTTTTAAACACGCTTTAGATACATGTTACACACAAATATGAAGAAACGAAAATAATAAACACATACAATTTACGAATTCCAGATTCAGAGGATTTTTTCCATGGTGCATCATCTGGTTCATAAGGAAGCGGTCCCTGCACGGGTGCATCTTTGTCATCCTCAGGACTGAAACAACAAAATTATATGAATATTTTATATAGCAAAGAATTTATATATTATTTATTATTCAATAACTTACATTTCAGGTTTTGGTCTATATAACTCTAGTTCGTCTTCGAGATCCGAAACTCTTGCCTTCAATTCATTTCGCTCGTGTAAAATTTCTTTTAGTTCGGCAGTCGTGAATCTGGGCCTATCAGGATCATCCAGGTCATAAATTGCTTTATTCGTCAAATCAGGACAGCCTTGTAATTTACTCAAATCCTCATTTTCTTTCTTAGCCATGCCAAGCCGTCCCCGAAGATTTATAAGTTCCCGATTCTGATCCTGCAGTTGTGCTAAAAAGTCGGCTCTTTCTTCTACTAAACCTCGAGCTTGCATTTGCGCTTGTCGTTGTTTACGTTTCAATTCCCGTCCCAGTACGGTAAGTTTCTCCACTTGTGCACTCAACTATATACAACACGTATTATTTATTATGTACAGCTTATAATAAAATCATATGAATTTTCATGTTAAAACATAATTTTAAAACGAAATTTTCTCTTTAAATTTTTAATAATTTTGAAGTATTTGGAAATATATTCCAAGTATAATAGACATAAGATATGTATATTTGTATTAAAAATATACATATTTTGTGTCTATTAAAAAAAAATTATCGAATTGTGCATATGTACATATAAACACCAATTTACATTTTCAATTTCTGCAGTTTTTTGTGACAATTCTCGATCTCTAGCACGGATCTGCTCTCGTTGTTTATCTATCATAGACCTCAAATGTTGTAGAACTGCTATATCAACCTCCTGACTAGCTGTGATAGCTAAAAATTAACGAAACAAAAGTTATTTCATTATTTTGTTAATTTATACAATGTTCTGTCAAACGTATGTCTGTACGTTTAACAGAACCTTTTAATAATTACTGGGTTAGTGACTGGTTAATTGGTTGGTGTTAGTACTTGTTTGTTTACTGCTGTACTGACTATCACTACGTGATTCATGTAGAGATTCGGCTAATCGTCTGTTTTCTTCTTGTAATCTAGTAACCATTGCTACTAAATCACGTGATTCTTGTCTCCAGTGTTCCTCAATTTGTTCCAATTCCTAAAAGAATCAATTAAAGTTGACGATACATAACTGTGATATCAAATATGTGATCATGAAATCGTATTGAGATTGTTATGTAAAAGTTAAACCATTAGCTACCTTTTCAAATCGTTGCCTATCTTCAGCCTTTCCAATCTTATCGCTCTCAAGCTGAGAGATCTTAGTACTCAGCTCTTGCACCATGGTATTTTCACGCTCATTCTTAGTAGCAAGATTCTCAAGTAGCTCTAAAGCGTTTATCACCTTTGGCATTAAATTGGTCACCGACTCCACCCCAAACAGATCTATGAGCTTCTCGCATTCCTTCCCTATCTCCGATGCAATATCGTACACGTCCACTACTGACACATCAGATGCAACAGAATATTCTTCCATTTTGCAAGTTGCGTTACCTCTCAGACAAAAAGGCATGAATACAACTTTTTGCCGCAGCACGCTCTACGCGTAAATCTGCTCAATGTTACGAGAAAGAAGTCTCATAAAGACGTTTCGTCTGAAGATTATCGCCTCCCTACGTTTTTAATGTTTCTATACACTTGATTGTGCGATTTCCGGTGGGGAATCTTATACATACAGAACAAAGTTACAGATAATCACAGCCAAGCTACACGAAATATTCTGGTGCGTATGCCACAGGTATATACGTGCCTGTAGGTTTGTGATAAATAAATTGCGTGACTTAGGTGTGGCGTTAATTGTCAAAACGACAGAATTCGCAATCACGCATCGACGGACGTTTGCATTATACACTCGTCGTTTCTTAGATCGAATACCAGCCCGGGAAGTGCAACGGACCCCGGTGATGTCATAGCAATTCTATCAAAACGTCATGTTTAAATTCCGGTCGCACACACAGAAGTTACGGCGGAGCAGATGATTGAGATTATTCACGGTGTATATATATGTGCGCATGTATGCGATTCATCGCACAGCACCGAGCCTACGGCACCGAGAGGAACGCCTTCTCTCGGAGCAGCATGAAACGTATATAGACAGGGATTATTTTTTCCTATCGACATTCTAATAATTTATAAGTATCTATTGCACAACGATGCGAAGCAAATCGCGAAAAATGGTAATATTTTTATTTTTTTTATGTATATAAATTATGCATATGCACACAGATACATAATAGCAAGAAAGGCTGATAAAATATAATAAGCTTAATTATTATACTCATTGCTATATACAAAACATAATGATTATTATAAAAAATGTTTCATGTATGAATATATATGTATAACATACATAAATATTCATAAACATGAATAATCATATATGAAATATGTCCATACATGTTCATATATCTCTCTTTTGTAAAATTACTTTTTAGTATAACAGAATTAATAATAGTAATGTGAAAAAATAATAAAGGTATAATTTTTACGTTGTTCGTTTTAGAAAAAAACAAGTTCGGAAAAATATAAAAAAATTGCTCATACACAATCATGCACAATTTTATATATAATTATACATAAGTAATTTTTTTATATTACTTTAAACTTGATTTTTTCTAAAACAAATAGTGTGAAAATTAATTTTAATTATTTTTAATGTTTTCACATTATTATTATTATTTCTATTACACTAGAAAGTAATTTTACAAAAGAAAGAAGAATATATATGAACATGTATGGACGTATTTCATATATGATTATACATGTTTATGAATATTTATGTATGTTAATTTATACATATTTATGCATGAAAAAAATTGCGTGATGAAAGAACGAGAGTAACACTTTGATATTAAAAAAATATTTAAAATCAGACTTTTACGTACTTAAATTATACAAATAAAGCTATAATCTATATATGTTGTTTTTAATATTTTAACGATAGGTTCTTAGAAAATATATGGTGTCTCGAAGCCTTGAGTTAAAAGGATTATAATTTCAGGTGACAGAAAGTTGAAAAGCGCTCTATATCGTCGATATATTGCATAGAAAGCACGTTGGAATCCAAGAATCGTAACCATAGAAGTACGTATTGTTGGATCGTTAGATGTATCATAACATATAGTCTGGATAATTCTGCGAATAGAGATCGTAAAATCGTCTAAGAAGTCTAATGCCTGTTTCTACTAATGTAGATTAACTTAATCTCGGTTCAACTTACTCTTCATCTTTTTTTTATTCTTAAAACTAAAAAAAGATGAAGAGTTAGTTGAACCGAGATTAAAGTTAAACTGTATTGATAGAAGTGAGCATCAGAGAGAGAAAGGATCATGAGCGAGCAAGAAGACATCGCGATTTCAATAATTCGAATGGATAAACTTTTGACGAGCGTTACTAACAGGATAAAGAAATCGGTAATTTTGCAAAATTTATATTCGATTTAAACGAATGAATTTCTTTGTTTTCTTAACAAATATTAATTTTTTTCTGTTTGAAAAAGCGTTCATTCTAGATACCTCTCAAAATTTTTCTTATTTAATTATTATTTAATTTTATTTAATATTTATTTCAGTAACTTCACTCGATTACAAACTTTATATTTCGTACCACAAGCTTTTCAAACGCACTGATTGGCTGTTGGATAGAAAATTTCCGAAGTTCCAATAATTTTTCTCCGATCAGCCAATCGGCGAGTCTGAAAAAGAACCACATATATCAATGTGATAACGCATTAACTTCGCGCTAAAAATCGCCATGTTGCATTCGTAAAATTAAAACGGTTTCAAAATTATCCGTTCTATAACAATTGAATGTTGAATGTTAAGTAAAAAATAATCTTGATCGAATCATTCTTTATTATTACTAATAGATTGAAAAATGTGGAGTCGATGATTCGCCATTGCTTCAAGAGATCATCGATCTCATCGAGCTGTTAAAAAAATTCGTTATATCCCGCATGAAGAGAACTCCCGATATAGAATCCATGCACGATATCAATTTGCATAATTGCCGGACAAAAATAGCGGAAGTCTTGGAGGAACTCGAAGGTAAATTTAAAGAAGGAAAATTTTATTGTTGTTAAATAGTATATATGCATTATTTCGGACACAAATTGAAGTATCAATTACCATGGCAGCTTTGCAGGAGATGTCTGAAGAACAAAACTCGAGCTCTGAAATTTTTCTGAGAGATATTGTTACCTGCGTCAATGACGAGGAAGAAATAATGCGAAGCATCAAGGAAACGTCAGAAGTAGAGATACCAAAAGAAATGTACTGAGAATTGTATTATTTATTGAAATAAAATTCATCTCGCTTTGTTGTGTTATAATTTCTTAACAAATTTTATTTTTATTTGTAGAGAGGAATCAATGCGGGAAATGATGAATATAAGGGAACGAGAGGAAACACGAAGGAAAATACTACAGTCTGAAATAGATTCAGCAGAGCGTAGATTGCACAACATTACAGAATTCAATGCAACATCTGAGAAAAAGCTTTTTGATATATGGTAAATATGTGGAACAATTTCCGTAAAAAGATCTATTTAATTAGAGAATATCTGTTATCATCCCCAGGAATATGAAGAAGTAATTGTTCAATTTTATTAATTTTATATTTCAGTACGAACATTGAACAACAATATATTGAGCTTCTTGCTAAATACGATTGCGACATCGGCGCGTCTCATACGTTAACAGAAGAACTATCAAAAAACAATGAAATTATTAAAGGAAAAATTAAAGAAATGGAGGTTTGTGGTATATTTAATCTTAAATTTAATATATACTTAATGTGTACAATTTTTCTGAACTGTAATTAATTTTTTTCATTAGGATCAGCTGGCTGTGCAACGGGAACTGTATGTTCAATTCAAGAAGGAACGAGAAATCGCGCTAATGATAGCTTTCACTAAACGACTGGATTTGCTTAGGCGCAACCGAGCCGCTAAGATTATCCAAAGAGCATGGAAAGCGTACTTTGAGCGTATTTCTTTAAAGAAACGACGAAAAATGAAGAGAAAATAGACAAAAATAAGACAATTCCATCAGTTTTACATTTGAACAAACAAATTATGTTACCCTAATAGACCTCCAGATGCGGGATGTCCTCCGTATGTCCTTTGAACATCCTAATGACATCCCTAGGATGTATCCCAGATACAGTGTGCTATTAAAGTAGTTCGTCAATTTACGCACGAGAAAACAAAGCACCGAAGATAATATTTTATAAATATGCTAAGATACATAATTTAAACTACTGTAAACTAGAAGGGAAAACTAGAAGGAAGGAGCAAGTGGCATTACATTAACTTATTTTATTCACTGAGTTGACAGAGCATAGCTACTCCTCTTATAATCCAGTGTTCGGATGGCTTCTCCGTGGGCAACCGTACGGCTATGACGAAGTTCGTAGAGTGACCAGTAGTGGATAATATCCCACGGCGTTCGGTGGTTTTATATAGTGGACAAACATACGATTGTCTTTCTTCGATATCTTGCTTCTTCATTGGTATCAGCCACAGCTGGAATTATAGCGAAAAGGTAAGTCCTGTCATTGATCTATAAGTACATGTATATCTTTCTTGGAGGATAAATTTACTTACAAAAGGTACGTTATCGTAAAGTACTTTGGGAAAGCTCTCCTCTATACACATTTTCTTTATATCGAATCTTGCACTGTCCAAAAATAACCCATAAACGTAAACGCCATCCTCGGGCGTAATTGTGAAGACAGTTTCTTTCAGGATTACGAAATCAAATGTAAGAAGATCTATAGGGATCTGATATTTTCGCGCGTAATTTTGCAGTGTCCCAGTTAGAAACGCTTGCGTAAAATAAAACCCAGATAACCAAAATGTAACGGGTGGTCCCTCCTCGTACCATTGCTGTATAAAACAAATTCATATTTCAAAATAGTTCAAGATTAATTAAAAAAACAAAACGCTAATATACAAATAATTACTTGTAAAAATGTTAAACGTTGTAGAAAATCATTGATATAACTGCCCAAGGGTTTTAAGGAGGGGTAAGAATTTGTTTTCCACAAAAGCGGTAACTTGCTCGTCAAGATTGCTCCGTAAATATCTTCAAGCTCAAAAGACATTATGATCAAACCTGCGGTATTACGGTATTGCGATAATATAATTCCTAAGATGCTGTTAATTTTTTTTGTTTAATTTTTATCATAATACTTTTATTATATATACATATAAATAAAATATGAAAGATTGATAGTTTAAGTTAATTGACAATATTTCACGTGTATGAATTTTTTTTTAAACTGATATATACCTTTAATAGCTTTTTGTATATTAATAAGACTATTCCTGATACAGCTTAATAATTTGTTAAATCTGTCCATCTCTTGCACTAGCACAGTGTTCATGCTTTGACTGTATAGTGTAGGATATTTAGCAAGTGCTGCAATGAGATTGTAATCCTTTGGAAGCTTATCCAAGATATCTGTCGCGACACCATAAACTATATCATCGTCAGAAGTTTGTCTCAAACCTGATTTAACAGCTTCCTAGGAGAAAAGATAATAAAACGTTTCATTATCTTTACTTGAGTCGTTTAGTCCATTTAGTTTAAAATTTCACCTCAAGCTCAGAGAGAATCAAATCAAGATTCATTAAAGTTACATGCACACATGATGTAAGATCGTAATCTCAAAAAGCGATATATAACATACCTCATTAATTTTCCAAAGATCCTGAGATCGAGCAATAAAAAAAAGATAATTATAAAAAATACATATTTAATATTTTATGATTGTATAAAATTTATTAGCAATTAGTATAATTGTTATAAATTAAAATTCTATTATTTTTTATGATAATATCATGATTACATACCGTTCGATCCTGAATAAAGTTTGATAAAATAAAAAATTATAATAATTATAATACATATACGATACATAATATCATTATTTTCACGAAAAATTAAATAAAAATTACCTGAGTGAGCAATAATGAAGAGAATAACAGATCTGTCTCTCGCTGATCTTTAAGTATGTCGGCATTTTCATTCATGCCAAATACACTTGGTTCTGTAATTATTGGAAGTTTTCTAATGTATGCGATATATGCTTCGTATTCTTTAGCGATCGGACAATAATAAATAGTAGACGATGTGTCAAAATAGTATATTTCACCAGTCAATAGTTTCCTAAGTAATGACATAAGTAATAATTTCTTAATTGATTAAAATTACACAATTCGTTAATACTCACGGACAATAGAATTTTGATAGAATAGTATTCAGTGTTCTACGGTCCCACTCGTCTGTAACTCTACCTCCATAGTTGCATTCACCCGTGAGGTACATCAAAGCATCAAACTGCACGTCCTCGTAATCGTCCAGAAACATCTTCAATTGCAAAGTGCTGATCCTCAGATCTGTCTCATTAAATTCGTATGGAATGTTCCAGCCAATCGGGCCAAATTTCCGTCTCTCTTGTACGATAGCATGGAAGAAGCACAACGAGTACAGTAGCTTTTTGAAATACTCGCTTTGAATGCAGCCTTCGAAGAACTCTATATTACTGATTGGATCACTCGCGTAGGATCTCAAAATATTGGCCCTGAGTCCTTTGGGCGGTTCATTCGTAATCTTGATACCGTTCTGAAGGACCGATATGGGAAAATGCTCTGCCGGATAACTGGTTAACCATAGCCGGAAGTCAGGATGAATCGTATCGGGTATCAGATCCTCGCATATCTTTTCTAAAGTCGGCATCCAGCTCTTGGCCAAGTGACAATTTTGCAATACTACCCAATTACCACGCCTCACACCATCCTTTATTAATTTTTCCGCTATAGGTCCTTGACCTGAGACAATGACACGGTTAGTTTTATACAGTAAATACTTGCTGTATAATATTATAAATTTTCATACAGTAAATACTTACCTTGGCCAAGAGACAGATAGAAAAGACGGTTAGCACCATAGCCTTGCTCGTCGGCAAATGTCAACAAGGTTTGCGCCGGATCGGCACCGGGAGTTAGCACGAATATCAATGGAATACTACAATTGGAATCCGCAAAAGAAGATCCTAAGTCGAAAGGTGGTGCTTCTACGTATTGCGGGCCCATTTGTTCTACAATACGAATAATTGGAGTAATCAATGATGTCCGTTTAATTCATTAGATTGATACTCGCTTGTAACATGTCTTTTACCTTCCACGAGCAATTGCACCGCTGAGATAATTTTATCGGGACGGATACAACGCAAAATTAATAATCGTTCGAATAAATTTAATTTGTCATATGGCGCTGGGAAAGTTTCTTTCTGCGGTTCTCTCGAATCGAATATCTTCTTCCAATCGTCAACTGCGTTGGAGAATGATTCTTTGATGCCCTACGGAATTGACAAATATAATCTATAAATATCGATTTTCTAATCGATTATACAAAAATTTACTTCGAATCCTTTAACAGTATCCAATCTGCACAGTTCATCCCAATATTTTACGAGCAGCCACTCGGCAGGATTAGGGTACGGGTTTTCCAAACCTATCCCACCAGTTAATAAAAATAACCATTGGCTCGCGGTTTTCGGTGTGTCGCTCGTCTCACGCAGATTGAAAACGAGAAGCAGCGTGAATAATAATTTATCCTTAGCAAATAAAGATCTGCAGATATTGACGTAAAGGGAATATGTGAAGTATTTGGTCAAGTCTCTTAGACGTTGTTTAATATCATCGGTCGGCTCCGTATGATCGATAGCCATGTTGAAAAGATTCACAAACCACATCAATGAATATTGATACATTGGATCTATGTTAGCTAGGGATACTGCGAAAAAATTGATCCGGTTAAAACATTCAATTTAAAGACTTTTCTTGGTATTATTGATGTTGCACGATTTATTTACCTATTGTGAAGAAAAGTATAGTCGAATAAGCCGCGATGGGTTGATACTGCAATCTCGCGGCATCGATCGACTTTTCCGTAACTTCCGTGGCCGCTTGCTTTACCTGAATATCGTCGCTCAAATTTTTAGACACCATTAAAATGTCAATAGCTTCCTCGTCTTCTAAAATGTTACCTTTTGCCACGGAAAGTACTTCCAGGATTTTGGCTTCTGTCTCTTTCAACATCCTATCAGATAAAATAAAAAATTATATAAGTAAATCATGTAAAATAGAAGGAGTATATATATATATATATTAAAGAACACATACCTTTTGTTTTCAGCACTTTGCACGATTAAAACATTTTTTTCTGATTCCAAATCAGGTCTTTCCCTCGCAACTACAATCCCAAGCAACTGATCCTCCAGACCGCTCGGTGTTATCATAAAATTCAGCAGAGTTACTCTTACAGCTATTTCCGGCAGATAATGAGGATTTCTTAATTTTGTCGTAATATAAAGCCTATGTATCAATATGATTAATATATTATGTAGAAAAATATCTCAAGTTTTTAAATTATATTTTCTTGTCTAACTCAATGTGTTATGACAAAATCGTGACAAAAAAATTTACAAAAACAAAATTATTTCTAATAAAATAAAATTAGTAACAAATCGTTTTGCTATCCATATATTGCCATATAACAAGCAATAAAATTTGTTAATAAAAATATATTGCATCAATGAGCTTTTGTTAATATAAAATTAAAAATGCAGCAGTTTGTATACATACAATTCAAGAGTACCTAAAACTAGTATTATATTCTATTATAGCATCGCCTAATTTTATGCACCATGCACCAGCATGCCTGAATGTTTGTTTAAGAAGTATCGGTTCAAGAGTGGCATCTAACTCTTCTTCTACGTTTTCTAACAACACTGGCTGTCCAAATTGTAGCGCATTTTCTAAAATCCTGATGTAATCAAGTTGGTTTAATCGAATAATGCTTATATTATTATTCTTTTCCATGTTTCTTATCCATTTGTTAGCTTGACCTTGTGGATCTATCATCAGCGGCCATCTTCTGGAATTTCTAAAAAAAATAGTAGCATTACGTAACATTATATGTTATTAAGATTACAATTTACTTACGTAACGATAATTCCATTGTCGATGGAAAATAC